ATGGTCCTTGTGGTCTCTTCCAACTCTATGATTCTATGATTCTATTTACTTCAGGTTGGAGGCTTGGGTATCTCACAAGTTGTGTGGATTCCTCCTCTCACCAACCCAGGGAACGTCACATTGTGAAGGTGCATTCTGGGTTGTTGGGAGGAGGAATCCACCCCTTCCCATAGTGACTGCTAAGTTTTTACTTGGGAGTACGATGGGGTATATCTACTTTTTATCTACATTTTTCTCAAGCTGTTATTCCTGAGTTCTCTGTATTAAGGCTTGGCTAGTAAGTGAACTGATAGCAATAGCTGTTTACATTTCTATACAGCTTCTATACAGCGAACTAAGCACTCTGTAAATGGTCTACAATGTGTACGCCAATTGCCCCCAACAAACTTGGTACCCATCTTACTAACCTACAAAAGGATGGAAGGCTGAGTTAACTTTGGAACCCTCCTCTAGGATCTCACAACATTGTGGCTGCAGTACCAGCATTTAACCAGTGAAAGGAGCCATCAGGGTCTTGTTTTCAGCTATTACGAAACCGTGTGGTTCTTTCTGCCTGACTCTGGGCAGTGATGGGAATATAACCCATAAGGGCTCTGAGAAGTGGCATCACTAAGTTTGGTGTCATCCAGTGCAGTAACTCATTGTGCCACCCTCCCACATTGACCTCCTCCCATACCATACCATAGTACCATAGTAATCCTTAGTAACATGGTTTTTTTGTACTAATATAAATTGTAATTCCCCTATATCTCTGAATGTAATGGTAACAGTTGTGACATAAACAACTAGCAAAATTAAAGTACAGTTGCCCCTCCGAGTCATAATCCAATGCTCAAACTTGCAGACTTGAAGCATACAATTTTGCATATTCATGGAGGGGCAACCTCCATTAAAATCAATGGGGAACAGCCCATTCAAGCCTATGGGACTTGAATATTGCCGAATCTCTGTTTTCGCAGGAGGGTCCGGAACAGATCCCCACAAAAACAGGGCTGACTGTATACCTTTAAATTACAATATCATATGCACAGCCTAAATGTATTTACATGTGTATAGTTTCATGTGATTAAAGTGAAACTTAGATAAGATGTGATGTTTTTAAAGAAAAATTAAAATATATACATATTTTTTTAAAAAATCAAAATTTGATTTTTTAAAAAACTGTGGGATCTCTTTTCTTCTCCCATTGAGCCTTGCCCCACTCACACTATCTCTTCAAGCAAATGCCACAGCCCATGCCTGTCCAAATGCAGATGTTTGGGGAGCAGTGGTGTCACCTGGTGATAAGACAAATCTATTGGGGGGGTTGGCAAGTTTCTTCAGAGGGGGGGTTACCATTGCCATCCTCTAAGACTGAAAGACTGTGACTTTCCCAAGATCATCCAGTTGGTTTTCATGGGGGAGCAGGAATTCGAACCCTAATCTCCAGAGTCATAATCCAATGCTCAAACCACTACACTGTACTGGCTCTACATGCTGACTTATACTCAGATGTACATTCTTCTGAATTCAATAGTGCTTACTCCCAGGAAAGTGTTTTATAGTCCTTTCCCCATGAGACCCCAACACCACCAGCCTGCTCAAAAATATATCTAAAAGCAAGCAAAGATTCAAAGATTCAAAGATTTAACATATATCCAAAGTGCAAAGGGGAACAAAAAGAAAAAAATGGTGCTGACCTTTCTGGTCCTTTATAACTGAACAAGAGCCCGGGTGACATATCTCCAATGACTCTGTCCCACCCACCCACTATCCACCCTCATTCCGCTGCAATACCAATTTGAGACTAAAATCACACATTTTAAAACAGAATGTTTCTTCTCAAAAATAGTGAAATAAACTTTTTTTTTCAAATTGCCTTAAAGCCTTCAGGCATCAAAAAGAAATATTTTCATATTGAAACAAGAGGAACATTGTGTGTTCTGAGATCAAGATAAGACAGATTATCTCATTCCTGTAGATTCAACTCAAACCAATCCATCTATAATGCAAAGGGATCTTGCAGCACCTTTGAGACTAGGGAGCTTAGCGCACCGGCTTTCATTCCCATGCTAGGTGTGGGATGTAAACCCACAGGGATGGATTGTATGACACAAATCCATCCTCAGGCAGTATTCATCCCATACTCAATTTGGGCTTCTCCCGGACCTTTTAAAGAATAGGATTTTCCCATTTCTTAAAAGGTCCAGGAGAAGCCCAGATTGGGTAAGGATGAATACTGCCCATGGACGGAGCTGTGCAATACAATCCATCCCTGTAAGTTTACATCCCGTGCCTAGCATGGGAATGAAAGCCAGCGCACTAATCTCCTAATAGCCTTATTGCATGAGAAAAGAAAGCTGAAACAGCCAGAGAATAGAGGCTTTCTCTGTGCCTCTCTGCACACCACCGCAGCACTTCTGTTCTCCTTCCCAAGGGAGAAGATTGTAAAAACATGCAGTTTATTGAACAGATTTTTCCAGTGTGACAAAAGACATGATTTTTGACTGCCTCCCTCCAGAAAATAATGCAAATGCTATGATGTCATGTATGCATTTTTTCAATGTGCTGGGTCATCTCATGATATGGTTAAAGTATGATAACCTCAGTTTAGGATACATACACCATATTTGATTAATAATCCATAAGAGAGCCAGTGTGGCATAGTGGTTTGAGAATTGGACTGCAACTCTTAAGATCAGGGTTCAGTTCCCAGCTTGGTCATGAAACCCACTGGGTGACCTTGAGTTGTCCCATTGTCTCAGCTTCAGGGGAAGGCAATGGCAAACCTTCTCTGAACAAATCTTGCCAAGAAAACTCCAGGCTTTAGGGTTGCTAAAAGTCGGAAATGACTTGAAGGCACAGAACAACAAATTAAGCCACACATTTCACTCCGCATAAACAGATATTTCTAATATGGCAAAGTTATAATCAATATTTTGAAAACTCAGGACATCCACTTCATATTTCATCAGATAGTCTGCACATTCATCAAGCCTTTTTTTAATAGTAACAGATTAATTACAAGCAGTTTGGTTCTGTTATTCCATCTTCCATCATGACGAAGGATGGTTGTTACCTGCATGGAGGATTTGTTACAAGAGCCAATTGTTCAGATGCCTTTCTGCCAGGGTGATCATTGAGCCTGAAGGCTTGTTCATAACAGAGAACAAAAGTCAACACTGATACTCAGCATCAACTCCAATTTACACAGCTGCTATTAGAGGAAGATGCTATTATTGTGTTGTTGTTATCAGACTCTGCTGTAGTGGTTTGTGAACAAAGTCAAGGATATTTGGTTTGCCTCATTTGACACTGCTGTTGCTGAGCTGCAAAACAAAAATTCTTCATTTCTGATGACTGGAAAGGTCAATAAAACGTTGCATAGGCCAGGTAATGTCAAGATAGCATAACCCACAATATTTCACAGATAGAAACTGAGACACAGATGAAAACATGTGGTCAAAAAACATCAGAATGTGGTCAAGGTGGCAAAAGTTATTAGAACAGGCAAACTAGAAGAGGCTGCAGCAGTTTCTTTTTCCTGAGTCTAATGGGAAGGGCAAGGTTTTGCCTGCCCCCATACCATCCTCTCCCTGGGCCCTGGCTGAGTTGACTGCAAACTACTTTTGTACTTTGAACTCAGTTTGCAACAAATGAAGTAAGCCTAGGAGAAAGGGAGAAAGTGGGAGGAGGAGAGAGACACTAGGACATTTTAAAAGCAGCTGGAAAAGTGGGATGACAAAGGATTAATCAGAACTGTCACTGCCAAAATGGAACAGTTGGAAAGCATGCTGGATTACAAGCATTTCCTTCCTTCCTTCCTTCCTTCCTTCCTTCCTTCCTTCCTTCCTTATTGTGAAAGAATGTTGCATTCATTATAGATATCAACATGATGTATTCCAGTGGCATCTACTGTCTTCCATGTCAGTGGAGCACTGATACCACTGTATGTTTTAGTCTGAGGTTTAAAGGAACTATCAAAGATGTTGATCCTATCTCCAAAGATCACCTAGCCCCTTTACCATTCAACACCTTGGGGGGGGGGGCTCAATTAAAGTTAAAAATATATCCAGAGCATATTCACCATGGTATCCTTCCCGTGCACAATTCAAGATGGATGTCAACAAGCTGGACCGTGTCCAAAGGAGGGTGACCAAAATGGTGAAGGGTTTGAAAACCATGCCCTATGAATGAAGAAAGACTTAGGGAGCCCAATATCTGAGGAGTCAAGGTTGGAACCCACTATTTTAAAGATCTTTGTGTACAGTTAATGAGTAAAGACCCTTTCCCAACTCCAGTTAGAATCTTTCATTCAGCTAACCATTTCCTTAATAATCTTAAACAAGGATGGATTAAGATGGTTGGAGGACCCAGGAGCATTTGTTTCAATGGCTCCATTGACTATCCAGCTTTGTTCTTAAGGATTACATTTTTGGGGTTATTTTGATGATTTGTCTACATTCATTATCACTGGGGGCACTACCCACACCTTTACATTCTGCAAAACTGGCAGCTTAAGCGATACAGCACTCTCAGTGGGGACATTGTTTTAAAAATTATACATGCACCCTCCTTTTAATTACATATAGAGCTTTCATTTTGTTTCTATTTTCGAATTTTGAATTTGGCCTGTTTTTACTGGTTCCTCCTTAGATGTCTACAAAATAAATGTATGATTTTATGGACTTGTTACTGAATTGTACCTTATCCATTGTGAGCCACACTGGGACAAGATGACTAGCACATACATCAACTAACTAAATACCTATTTTCTTTTACCAAATGTCTATAAAATGGGGCATCCAAGATGGGAGAGAGAATCATCTTCATTCAGGGCATTTTTATACGCATGGGAGCACTACCTGGAGCTGTTACTATCTTGGACTATAAGTCCTGAAATTGCATGCTGGTTGGACAGTTCTGGGAGTTAAAGTTAAAAGCAACTTTTTCATAAATTCATTTCATTTTTATCCCACCTTTCTTCCCATACAGGATCCAATTTTCCCAAGCTTTGCATGAGAGGAACTAGAGGCAAACCTGCCTACAAAAGACTTTTCTGTTTATTCCAACATGGGAGCCCTCTCTCACTTCGTGCACATTCCTTTAAACCTGGAGATCTGCTGCCTCCACTGGAAGAAGATGGCTCTGGTTCAATGTTAGCATTGTGCAAAGTCAGGCAATGTTCCATTCTAGTATTTTTGGCATGTGCCAATGGGCTTGCCTGGCCTTGTTTTTATCTTTATTCTTTTTAATTAAGCTCTGGAGGGTAGGAAAAATCCCAGGCTGTTAGTTTGAGATTCATGGCTTTGGTATTTGCTTTTGGCTCCAACAAGGATGTTCTTCCTTCTCTCTTGCTTTCGGGTAAAGGGGAGGGGTACCAAAGTGTCTGGAAGGGCTCATCTTGGCTTTATTCATTGTGTTTTTGAGATGGGCCACATGGGGAGGTTTGCCCCTTGGCTCCCTTAAGGGCCTCTCTGTTTTGCAACCCTTCTTCCATCTGATGGAGTTTGGGCGAATCAACCCCACAGAATTCAGCGGAGGCGTTGCACATACGTAAGCGTCAGGAAGTCAGATACCAGAGGAAACATCTCAAGCCATGGCATACGTTTTTTGAACAGGGCTCTGAGCAAACTTCATAACCCATTCAGCAATTGAGTAAATGGGTCTACTCTAGTCAGGATTAGTTTATTTAGATTTGAGCCAGAGTGTTCTTTTGTGCAGGAGGGTCACATGGCCTCATCTGTGTGCTTTTAGGCTGAACTTGGGCATGTCACACTCTCTCAGCCTCAGTGGAAGGTAATTGCAAAAAACCCCTCTGATGAAACTTGCCAAGAAACTTTATGAAGGCTAGCCTTAGGGTCATCATAAATTGGAAATGACTTGAAGGCACACAACAACAACAACAGCAATGTGATAAATTTGATGACCAATTTACTTTGGGCCATTAGAGCAACCAATCTGGTGCCATCAATTGCCACCAAAGTTAAAGGGAACCAGGTCAGTCAGGGAAGGCTACATTAGACTATTGCCAAGTGCCAGGAGAGGTAGGCTAGAGTAGCAAGAAGCAGTTATGGTAAGTCTGTCTGGGTCATACACAGGTTGTCAGGGGCGTTTTGCCAAGGTTTAGGGGTGGTGCAGTGGTGAGGTATAAGCCTTTCCAGAATCCATCACAAAAAGCCTGGCATCACGGTAACCAAAGCCACAAAGGAAAGACATGTACTCTGTAAATCCAGTCCAGAGATCAAGGATCCAAATAAATCCATGAACAAGTGGTGCACTGAAGCCAGGGAGAATGATCATTTGTGAAAAACAAAAACTCCCAGCAGCTGCTGTGGGATTTACAGGTACCTGACCTTGAGATGCTAGGTGCTTGACTGCTAAATATTTCCTATTTAAGAGGTCTTGGCTCTTCCACTGCTGTTCCTTGTCATGATAACTTTCCACAAATGATGAGAGTGTCTGCTCAACTCTGAGCAGTGTCTCCCAACTCTGGCTGAGGTGGGAGTCCACCCTGCTAAAGTTCTCCATCAGCTGCATTGGTGACAGATACTCAGATTGAGGCTGCATCTACACTGCAGAATTAATGCTGTTTGACACCTCTTTAATGGCCATGGCTCAATGCTATGAAATGTTTGGATCTGTAGTTTTGTAAGGTTTTTAGTCTTGTCCATCTTAGAGCTCTGATGGCACAACAAAGTACAAATCCCATGATTCTATAGGATGGCTTCATGACAGTTAAAACAGTGTCAAACTGCATTAATTCTGCACTGTGGCAGCAGCCTTACAGAGAGGGGATCATCTGGTACCAGAGACCTTTTTATATATAACTCAGACAGATTCCACAGGGATAGAAATCAGAGACCTAGCCATGTCAGTCTGGAATATCAGTATGCAAAGGGATCTTGCAGTACTTTTGAGAATAACTGTGAGAAAGAAGTTGTAGCAGAAGCTTTTGTAGACTTGGTCTGCTTCCTCAGATGCATGGATTGGAGGTAGACCAAGTCTACGAAAATGCATGCTACAACTTCTTTTGCAGTCTCAAAGATGCTACAAGATCACTTTGCATAACTCATGCTGTAGAGCAGGGGTAGGCAATCTTTCCCCTTTAAGGGCCGAGGGACTTCAGCTCCCAGAAGCCTCAGCCAAGTTGGCCAATAGTCCCATGTTGGCCAATACCTCCTGGGCTTCTGGGAGCTGAAGTCCCTCGGCCCTTAAAGGGGAAAGGTTGCCTACCCCTGCTGTAGAGTATAACACCAAACCAAAGCTTGGGAAAATTATTTTTTTAGAATACAGCTACCAAAATCTTCCAGCTGATGCCTGGGGGATTCTGTGAATTATCATCCAAAAAGAGAGAGAATTAACATTAAAACTAAGCCTGGTTTCTATGTTACCCATTTTTATTCAAGAAATCCATCCCATGGGATTCAACAGAACGTGCTCACAAGAATCTGTATATAAGACCTTAAGCCTTGTTACTGATTTTTTCTAAAACTATAATTAACTGTATTCCAAGTTTCATATGAAAAGCAATCCCTTTGCCAGACTAAAATTTTGTCATGCCATCTCATAATGTGTACAATTGCAATAGCTTCCGTTTCAGCATTTTGGCTTCTAGGCTTGATTTGCTCTCGGAAAGATTTAATTCAGAGATATATCAAGGGAATAAACTCCTTATTTACCTTGCAAGTCTGACTGAAGCTTCAAAGCAAAGACAAGATGAA